CCCCAGGCAGACCCAGGATAGAGAGCTGCAGTATAATCTCCTGTGGGCCCAGGAGAGCTGGCAGTGAGGGGTGTGCCTGAGGCAGACATGGGGAGAAGACAGAAGTGGGAGGAACGGAAGTTAGAAACACAAGCAACGGGCAGGTAACAGTGAGGCTGGATCCAGAACATGGTGAAGAAAACCCAAAACCTGACTGAGGTGCCATTTCTGCTCTACAATGTCCAAACGTATTCTTTGGCATTCTTTTTTCTTTTTTTTGCCTGTTAGCCCCCCGCTTCTCTAGTCTCCAGCCCCACCCCAAGTCCAATGCCTAATATGCCGACAAGGGCTGGTTTTGCTGTCCCTAGTATATCATGAAGATCAGACAAGAGCCCACTAAAGAAATAAGCAACAATGCATGAAAGGAGGGAAGAGCTTCATGACAAATGCATCCCATACCCTTAAGGAGGGAGTTAACAATGGAATAAAAACATTCCGTCCATAAAGAACACTCAAAAGGGGAGCTTATAGCCAGGTAACTGTGCCAGTCTCCAGCAATCCTGAAACTTTTCCCAGGCCACTGCACTGTTCAACTGAGACATATTCACTGTAGCAGGAAAAAAAATAATAATAAAGTTAAACAATACAGAGCAATTGCGACCACTCTCCTTTTCAGCATCAGAAAATTCAGAGTTTGGGGGCAGAGAGATGGATGACCAAATTCAGTGGCTAGGGAGGAAAAAAGCTCTCAGGTCCACTTGAGTCCTTATCAAGCATCACAAAGCAACACAGATGTTGAGGAAACATTCATCTGTAGCTTAGAATGCTCTCCCCTGCCATACCCCAACTTTGTTTTAATAGTCTAAGGAGCCCTCCCCAGAAGAAATGTGTACTCTTTGTTTTTTAACAAGGGGAAAAAAAAAAAAGCTTTGGGTGAGAAGAATTAGGCCCCAAGCCCCTTCCAAACTTTCTCATCTCCTCAAAGAAGTATAGTGCACTAAAAGGAAGGTTGTACCAGGAGCCCTGAGGAATCCAGCTTCTGAAATGGACATTTCCAGGGAGCCCACTGGCTCCCCCACCCCCGCCCAGTAACATAAGGAAAGCTATGAGCTCTCTGGGTTCCTCAGATGAAAAAAGGCAACAAACAAGGGAAGCTGAGAAAGGACTCATTCAATAAATTGAAGAAATGCACAGCTAGTAGCTTTCTTCCTTTTCTCCCCTCCTTTACAGAACAAAAAACAACCTGCCCCTCACTCAAGGGTCATTTAACGCTATAAGCTTCTTTGCTGGCCTAAGTATTCAGCTAAAGCTAAATTGGTGATCAGAACCATGTCAGAAGCCTGTAATGGACAAACACACAAGTTAACCTTATTAAATATTAACCTGCAGCCTAAGGGATTTTTTAATTTAAAACAAACAAAAAAATGACAGGCAAAGTAGATGCTCTAGGAGAATACACATGTACAAATGGCCTATGCTCTGATCAAATATAATGAAGCACAAACTTCACTTACCTGAAACCGCTAAATTGCTTGAGAAACATGTTAGGCTCCCACAAAACCTATTCAAAAAATTTTTTTTATCCTACTCAGCATGAAGTGGAACACATGGCAAAATGATACATTTTACAAAAAATTAAAATTGTAAATAGAACTACTTCAGAAAGAGTTCAGGGAAGTGCAAATAAACACATAGCTTAGATGCCAGTTTGTGCTTGTGCCTCTAAGGCTTCACTGAGGATCTACCATGGGTGGGGGGGAGGGTAAAAAGCGCCTTCCCTCTTTTCAGAGGTCCATAACAAACCAAGCACAGTATCAACTGGCATTTGTGTTCAAGATTAAGCAAGTTGGAACAGAATCATGACCAATACTCTTCATCTAAATAATACAGTCCTACCTCCGCAGCAACAGAGTTGGGAGTAGATATGAGGCAAAAAGGTCAAATGGACAAGGATTCCTTCAATGAAGATAATAACTGTAAAGGCAGCTAACATTTTGTGAGCTCCTATTAGGTGCCAAACACTGTACGAAGTGCTTGACATATGCTAATTAATTCAATCCTCTCCATACTCCTGCCAGGCAGTATTAGTATTAGTCCTACTTTATTTTTTTTCTAAAGATTTTATTTATTTATTTGAGAGAGAGAGAGAGGGAGAGAGAGAGAGAGAGCATGAGAGGGGGGAGGGTCAGAGGGAGAAGCAGACTCCCCGCTGAGCAGGGAGCCCGATGCAGGACTCGATCTTGGGACTCCAGGATCATGACCTGAGCCGAAGGCAGTCGCTTAACCAACTGAGCCACCCAGGCGCGCAGTCCTACTTTAGAAATAAGTAAACTGAGGCCCGAGGCTAAGTAAGTTTCCCATGTTAACACAGCCAGCATGTGAAGCCAAGCCAGCATAAAAATCATCCAACTCCCCATACTGAACTGGACCCATTCTATATTCAAAACACATCATCTAATTCTGCAGTGGCACTCAATCAGCAAAACGGATTTACCCAGAGCCAAAAACCATAGGTCAAGGAGCATCAAGAATGAGGTGATACACTGCCTGGAACTGCATGCTGCAGGGCAGAATGCAAAAACAGATGAGCTAAACCACCCAAAACATCAGCAAAACCAACCAGTGGCACCCAGAAATGTTCTGCAGGAAAGCGTGGTTTCCCCCACAGGATTAGAGTTGTCACCTGAAGTGGGTGAGGCTCTTTTTAAACCTTGTTATATAAGAATGGAACTATGTTCCTTATGAATGTCCACTACTTAGACTTCTGGTATTTTTTTTCTGATCCCCACACCCAACGTGGGGCTCAAACTCACGACCCTGAGATCAAGAGTCCTGCTCTGCTGACGGAGCCAGCCAGGCACCCCTAGACTTTTGGTGTTTATCAACGTTCGGAATGACAATTCCATTATGTTTCCAACTAGTGCGGTAAATAACATTTTTCCCCCTTAATTCTGAAAAGGCGCTCCTTGCTCCAACTACTCAAGGATTTGACTCACAAGTATGTGTTCCCACCAATGTCAGTCATTTTTCCCCAGGCCTTTCTCAAGTGAATGCTCCATTACCATACCCACAATTTTAGGTACTACCTCTGTGCCTTTTCATGCAAGATAACACCCTTTTTCATGGTATCCAATAATGGATGCAGCATCCCAAGAACTGAGCAATCCCATTTTGTACAAAAGCTGAGGTGATGCTTCCTACAGAGTTTCTTCTAATCCTCTTCCACTGATGTCTTCAAGGTACTGTCCGTTTCCCATACTGTTCCTGGAGGCTAAAGCCTTAATAACTTGTCACCAAGATGCTCTTTAAGTGTTTTTAAGCTAATACATTATTTTACACCTGTCCACAAGAAATCTCACTCTCATAGCCTTGGGAGATTCTGGTGGAGCAGGAAGAATGTAAGTGCACTCAAGCTAAGTTCTGAGTATCATGTAGTATAACGTGTGGAACTTTCAGGGTTTTTTTTTTTTTTTTTTTTTTTTTTTTGTAATATTTATGTTAAAGGGACTTACTCCTCCTCACATGTAACAGATTACGGGAACACCATAACCTAGCAGCCAGGGTATCCATACAACAAAAAGGGCAATGTATGTCCAAAAACATGATCTCAGAAGAAAAATATGAGAGACTGTAAAAAGTCAGATGGATAAAAACATTTTTAAAAAAAATACTGATTTTAAGAGAAAATGCAATTAAATATGCGGCAAAAAAATCTGCAGGGAGGGAGAACTTAGATATATAGTAATAATAAAGGATTTTTTTTTAGAGAGAGAAGAGAAAGGGGGGGGAGGAGGGGCAAAGGGAGAGGGAGAAAGAATCCTAAACTGGCTCCTCCACACTCAGCGCCAGGCAGGGCTTGATCCCACAACCCTGAGATCATAACCTGAGACGAAATCAAGAGTCAAAATCAAGAGTCTGACTTAACCGCCTGAACCACCCAGGCGCCCGGAAAGATTTTTTTAAAAAAGCAAGCATGGAAGTGTGGACTTGGTTGCAGATAGACACTGAAAAAAATTATACCTTCTTGACTGTAGCCACCGCACTCCAGTACTCCCTTAAGAAAAACTTGGTAACTGCCTCCGTCCTCAACAATCCAAGCTGCAAAGGGCTGGAACGCTAAGAATAAGGTCAGCTAAGAAAATCACAGTTCTCCAATATAAGCTGGAATGTAACCGCTAAAAATACATACATACATACAAGTATCACAGTATCCAGGTAATCAGTTACACAACTGAGTCCGTACCATACATAGCTCAGGTGGAACAGGGCAGAGTCCTGAAGATGAACAATGAGATTAGAGACTCTTCCTGGGTCCTCAGCCACTCTACTCCCACTCTCCCCAGACCCTAAACCGCGCTGAAACCGCGCTGTTCTCTGCAAAAAAGGGTAATAGGTCAAAGTTGCCTAGCCAACACGCTTGCAGTTGGAGGCGTCCCAGAGCCTCACAAGCTATGATTAGGTAACCTTACAAAGTGCTACCAAAACGATAACTAATTATTCTTTGTAACCCACAAAGGAAACACATGTCGGGGGCGGGGAACAGATCACTTCGAAGAGCAGAAAACGGCTTTGACAAAGACTGTATAATTATTAAGAAACTGATTACAAACAAAACTGATCGCAGTCCAGGTCTCTGGAAGCAAATTCGGTCTAAGCCCAGCAGCAAGCGCACACGTTATTCCTCAATATTGTGCACATATAATACTATCCTCTCTGCACGGCCCGATTCCAAACTCCATTCAGAAACACCTTCCACGGAGCCTTCATCGGACCCTGCGGGAGACTGGAATTTAGAACCTCAGGCTCAATCCAAGGACATTCGTTTTTCGGAGGAGTGGAGGAGAGTCAGGCCCAGACTCAAGACTCAACCGCACGGGTGAGGGGCGGGGCGGCATTTCCCCCGGTTTCCCGCGGACCCTGGCCTCCCGGCGGGACACCCACTCCGGTCTCGGCTGGCCAGCGCCTGCATGGAAGCGTGCGCAGCAAATCGAGCGGGGTACGCTGCCTGCCCGGCGACTCACCTGGGCGATGCCGGCGCCCATCAGCCCGCCGCCGATAACCGTCACGTGCTTGACGATGATTTTCTTCGCCGAGGCCGAGGCGGTGGACGAGGAGGACACAGAGCGCACGAACTGCCGGGTTACGAAAGCCATGCTGCGGAGACAAAAGCGGCGACAGCGATAAGACCTAGCAAAGTTACCCGCGGCGCAGGGACTAGCAACGAGCTGACCTCTGGGGGCGGAGGCCTAGGCCGCCCCTCCGCCCCGCCCGCCCTCCCGCCCTCGAGTTCAGTGACGTCCTCGACGGCGGGGGTGGAGACTCGAGGTGCGCCCCGCCCATTGGCCCAGGCCGGCGGGGGACCGCGTTCGAACGGCCTAGCGCGTCTTCCGGGCTCACGTGGGCAGGCGCGGCTACCGCCTACAGGCGGGGAAGGGGGCGTGGTCGCGGCGGCGTTGGGGCGAGGGGAGGTGGGCTCACAGCGGTCGGGGGGTGGGGCCTGGGCCCTTCAGCCGCGCAAGGCTCTCTTCAGAAAGGGCACCAGTCACTCGTGAGATGAAGTACCCGCCGTTGCGTTGTTAAATCCTCATCCTTGATGCTTGCGCGTATTTCGGCGCTGAAATACATACATGCTCTTTGGCTGTGGTGATTATTTTAATGCGGTGGATATTGATTGTTTCTGCTGAAGCGGAAGGAAGCGAACTGCTCACACCCAAAACAAATGGCTAAGGACCCACGAGTTCCAGTGTAGCGAACAGGCCCACGGGAGGGAAAGGGGGTTGACTTTTAGTTACCCATTTCAGCGTCAGACATAGATCAGTGCAGGGAAAGTGGACGGTTGAAGGTCAAAAAGCAACCATTGTGAAGTAACACCTAGAAAGCATGGGAAAAGAATCTCTTTCCAAATAATGGAAGAATTGGATACCAATTAGGTCAATCTTCTCATTCATGTGAATAATTTCTGGTTACTATACTTCAGTAATATAGAATCTTTATTATTTTTGAATACACAATAAGAACCCACAAACACACCATCCAAACAAAAGTCAGTCTCTCCTAGCAGAACTAACCCACACAGCGAATCCTGTGTTTACCATTCCTTTGCTTTGATCTCATTTTTATATCTAATTCTGTAAAATTATGGGAGAAGTGCAGTTACCCAGCGCTCTGTTAGGATTGGAACAATACTAGGATCACTACTGGTTAAGGAGACAGTGTTACATCCAAGTAACTAAAGTCCATTGAGTGCCAGAATGTAACAAATGCAAAAGCCAATGGGACTAGAAATGGAAAAGAAAGATTACACAGAGAAACCTAGTAGAACAATGAAGAAGAGAGAATTCGAGGCTGAGGTAGCAGCGCATGCTAAAGTGGAAACAGAAGAAAATATTGCCAGGGGAAAACAGGAATTAGGTGTGGCTAGAAGTGAGGGTAGGATGGTAGATTAGGAGGATGCATGGATGATTCTTGAGGTGGATTTTAACTTTTGGTTCTCATTTAACAAGTGTCTAATGCAAGGCCAGACATCCAAACATACTCTAATTAACATTGTTACAATAAACACTTTTTAATGAAAATCTGTGTAATGTAAAACAGTGCCCAAGGATGCTACATTTTCAGATCTGTGATCTGTTTTTCTCTGAAAAGAATAACCACTGCCATGTTTTTAGTGGCTCTCAAATCTGAGGCTGTCTGTATTATCTAAAGGTGGGATGTAAAGAAAAGAGCACAGCAGTGGGCGGTGGGCGTGCTGGCTCTGTCGCCTGTGTGCAGTATGACCCTTGCAACACTTCCTCTTCCTGGGCTCCAGCGTCCTTGTCTATCAAAAGAAATGGCTGGGTACCTTTCCAGCTGTTCCATGCTAAGACTCTACCCCCAGTTCTTGACGTGGGAAACAAAGGCAGAAGAGAAGTTATTAAATTTCCCTACTAACAGCACATGGACAAGTCCTTGATAGAGGTAGAGTGACATTCCTTTAGGAACTCAACTGCCTCCGTGTTAATACTTTGCTCAGGGCAAAAGGCAACTTTAGCCAGACCCCCAGGATCCTGTAAGTCTACTTTAACATATAAAAATTCTTTTAGAAATTTCCTTTATCTCTAAACCCCCCAAGATAGATGTTGGCAATCGTCTCCCAAGCCTATGGCCCACCAATATGCGTCTGAAGGGTCTCATGACTAAGGTTTTATTAGATGGTTTTAAAAAATGACCTTTTCTCAACAATAGCTAGCCCCCTCAAGGTCCTGGAAACCTTGCTTCCATAGTGCCCTAGAGTCTTACACTATCCCTAATTCCCTCCCAACTTGAAAGTATGTAATGGGCCGCTCCTCATGAGCCCATTGCAGCCCTTTCTGCCCACGGGTCCTGTCCCCGTGCTTTAATAAAATCACCTTTTTGCACCAAAGACGTCTCAAGAATTTTTTCTTGGCCGTCGGCTTTGAACCCTAACGTCTTTCCTACATTTTTCTGAGGCTGGAGGCCCGACCTGCCCCTCCACTCCAGCCCACTCCTGATCAAATAACAGTTACAATAAAATCATTCTTCTCTTACCAAGACTGCAAGTCTTTTCCCAAGTGTGTAGTCTTGGCCTTTCAGGCAGCCAGTAATAGTTTCTGTGGTCCCTGACTGGCACCTTCACCCTGTTCTTGGGGTCCTGCTTCATTTCTCTCTACAGAAAGAGAGGGGATACTGGGAAGCATGACCCTGGTCACTGAACCAACTCAGAGACAGCAAAGGGAAGGACTGCCACAGAGAATGGAGTAAATGATGACTGCTTTTACTTTTGTCTCATAAATGGATCATTGTAGTACTTAAAAAATACATATCAAAGAAGCATTATTTGAAAATATACATGGTGGAGGGCCTGAAGAGTGGCAGAAGCAGGGAGTACAGTAGGTTCTTCACCTCCAACAAGGCAGCAGTAGACAAAAAATATCAAAGCCTTCCCAGCTGTCCTGCTTTACAAAGTAGGTACGTGGAGAGAGAGCTGAGCTGACATTTGGTCTTCACATTGTCATCGATAGACACATTGCCCCAAGGACAGGGTGCATTAATAATCAGGAGCATTCATGGGGGCAGGATTCATGGAGTAAGTTAGACTTTTCCTTGTAATTGTGGGAAATTCATGATTTCTGGCTTAGTGGGCTAAGAGTGAAAAATTACAGCTGCTTCTGTTTTGTCGAGCAATTTCTAGGTTTCATATGGTTAGAAGACCAGAACCTGTGCCTGCTTAGGGTGGCACAAGAGCAAAGCCTGGAAAGTTCAACCAGAGGTTTACCAACTGCAAAACTAATGAGGGTTCACAGTGCCACGTTTGTCAGCATGGCTTTCAAGGAAATAATCATCCGATTTGCATCATCAAGACATGGCTAGTTTAAGAAGGGAACGGTTATTTGTTTCTATATCCTGCTGAGAGATGCTCTCAGAATGACTTATAAAACATACAAGACAAATGTCTAGCAACATTGAACAAATTTACAAATAATTTTACCCTCTTGGGGCACCTGGGTGGCTCAGTCGTTAAGCGTCTGCCTTCAGTTCAGGTCATGATCCCATGACTGAGCCCCGCATCGGGCTCCCTGCTCAGCGCGGAGCCTGCTTCTCCCTCTGCCTGCCACTCCCCCTGCTTGTGTTCCTGCTCTCTCTCTCTCTCTCTGTCAAATAAATAAATAAAATCTTAAAAAAAAATAATTTTACCCTCTTGAGATTTTAGGGGGAAGTATCATGGTAGACTTCAAATATGTGTCTTGGCTTTTACCATGCTAGCAGTCATTCATCCCAGCACAGCTGCTCTCTCCCTCTATTTCCCCTCTACTTGGAAGATTCATTAAGTCCTCACAATAACCCTTTTTGGTAGGTACTAAGGGTACCCTTCCTTTAAAGATAAGGAAACCGAGGTGCAGAGAGGTGTAGTAATTTAGTCAATGTCACACAGCTAATAAATGGCACAGGGAGAAATTGAACTCATGATAGTCTGTTCTTGACCACTATGTTCTTGACCACTATGTTGTTTTGCCTCTCTTCATAACAACCCTAAGACTACCCCTGCCATCCTCCTCTAAGGCTGAAGAAGCCAAGATGCTGAACGGTCAAATTGTTTATTAAATGTAATTCTCCTAATAACAGGTCAGGCTCAGTTTTGAACGCACTCTGACCTCAAGACTCTTTTCATAATTCCATCTGTCTTAGACAGTGCCCTGATGCTAGATCACTGTACTCCCCTCCTTTTAAAAACTTTATCCACATAAAAAACAAAAACAAAAACAAAACCTTTATCCACAGGATAAAGACCAAACTTCTAAGTCCTAGCCCCAACATTCTAAATTCATCTATTCCTTCACAAGTACCCTAAATTTGAGCCATAAAGAACCAAAGTTACTTACTTTTCCCAACTTCTAAATTATCTCTCATAAAGATCCCAATTGCCAGTTCATTTATAAATGAGTTCAAGGCTAAAAAACTTTTTTACTAACTACAATTCTAAGACATTTTCAGAGTCAGATATTTAGAGTTAACAAGGCTGACAGTGACTCCTTGTTTATCTTTAAAAGTAAAATGATTGATTTTAAAAATAACAACTAAGTTCTTCATTGCTTTATGTGATCAAGAAACATCTGATTCTAGGTGCTGGAAAAGAGGTGACTAGAATGTGGTCTCTGTCTTTCAAGGGCTCATATTATAGGTGGAGAAACAAATATGGAAGTGAGTCATGACAGCAGGGTTGTAACTGCTCTCCCCAGGGAAATGAGAAGGACTGTGGAGGACGTTAGCTTGGGGGTGGGTAGCAAAGTGTTTGTGGGGTGTCATGGGGTACCAGCTAACATATTTAGTAAATGCTCAATTTGCTAGACTCTTCGCGAACCACGTGTTTTTGCCCTTCACCAGTGTGCTAAACAACTTCATCATGATGGAGATGTTACAGCAGAGTAGTGAGGGTGAGTAGGAGGTTATCAAGCAGAAGAAGAGTTATAAGGACATTCCAGAGAGAGAAAAATGTATCTGTAGATTGTGAAGGAACACAGAAAAGAAAGTGGCCTGGAAATAAAATTAATATAGAATAACCGTAAAGCTGAGATTGGAAGGGGGCAGGGGCCAGATCAGGGTGGACCTTTTTATGAAAGTCGTGGTCACAATTACATTTAATTTTTTTTCAATTTTTATTTAGTAATAACTGCAAACTCATAGAAAAATTGCATGAATAAGAATAATGCAAAGAAACCCATATACCTATATTGACCTATTGTTAATATTTTATACATTTGCTTCATCATTTTTTTTTAT